CATCTAGCTAATGTTTTACTATTTTGTGCGAGGTTTTTTGGGGGGATGTATTTTTTTGCTGCACCCTGCATAAATTTTTAATACAACTTTAAAAAAAAAAAAAAAAAAATCTGTGTAGACATTTTTAGAAATTTGGGCTAAAATGTCTGTTCTTTCTTTCGTTACTGGCGACTTTACAAAAACCCGAAAAGAAATTGGTTTACATCAGGGTTAAATTAAAATTGGATTTACGGTTGGAACAAGTTGAAAGAACGAGCAAATTGACTGTGGTTGAATTTGTTCGTAAGTAGAGGACGTCCTGTATTGTCGTATTGACAAAAGGTGTCGGTTTGTATAATCGAGTCCAGCAAAAGTGAACGATACAAATGAGTTGCTAACAGAGTGGAAAAACATTACAAACATCTTGAAACGACAACTCACCACCAAATTAGAACGTCAAAATGTTAACATCTTGACAAACAAATATATTTGTGATTTTATATATATATATATATATATATATATATATATATATATATGCGTATGTAGGTATAAAAACAGACCTGTTTACGTCGTACGACCTCCTGGAACGAAAAAAACATTTTGAAAAGGGAAAAAAATAGCTGGTGGATAACATTTTTTAAAATGATAAAATAATAATATCAAGTATTTAATAAATAAAAAATAAAATACTAAATACCATTTTGATATTAAAAATCAATACCTTTGATGTCGATGATTTTTAAAAGTGTGCGCCATTTCACATTTTTGTGTATCGATTTGGTTTCAGCAAATATTGGATATTATTACATAGGAGAAGAAAAATAAGGCTAAAATGATTTTTAGTTGATCTCGCAAGCAGTAATCAAAATAAAATAACAATAAATCGTTTTAGTTTCCTCTAGTCATGACTTATTGGGTTATAGTAAAAACTAGAAGTTTTAAAGATTTAGGTCTTACTAATTTGTTTCGGGGAAATATGTTCTGAATCACTCTAAGCTCACCACTAATTTCTTTCTCGAACGAAAAAGAAAAGAAAAATGAAATTTCGCTTCTGGTTATTATCGAAACATTAAGCATCCAACTTGTCGGTTTAAACTTTAAGTCTGTATTGCCACAAGAATCGATAATATTTAAAAGGAATAGAAAAAAAAAAACTAAAATGACTTCGTTCTTTTATCATAATCAACATTTCAAGAGAGATAAAAAGTGAAGAGATATAAACAGGCGCATATATACATGTATATCTATAGATAAACATGCCTGTTCTCACACGCACATACCTATGCATATAAATATAAGTGGTGCTTTCATGTATGGGCATTCCTCTGTATGAATTTAGGCATATATATATATATATATATATATATGTGTGTGTGTGTGTTCAATGTGTAAGAAAGCTAAAAATTATACTAATAATACATATAAATCTTGTTACTCACTTCTAACTGCGGGGAACAAAATGCATACATACGAACATATATAAAATCAGACACGTGCCGTCAGTAATTACTCAGAGTAGGTAGTTTATGAACTTTATGTAGTAAATCTTAAAAAAAAATAAATACATTTTCTGCATAATAATCAGTGTCACCTTCATAATGTTGTTGGATCAGGTGCATATATTGTGCCACAGAGGGAAAATGTAGCCTCTGATCTATTTATTCAGGGTAGACACTGTCTATCTTGCCTACCTAGATGGCACATCCCTGATTTATATATATATATATATATTTCATTACAATGATCATATTGTTACGTAATATGTATTTACATCTATATGTACCTGTATTCCTGCATAAGTCATTATGTCTTAATTCCTTTTCTTTTATTGTTTCTCTTGCATCTTAGTGGCTTCATTGGGATAAAAGATTAATATTATATATATATATATATATATATATATATATATATATATATCTAACTATGAACTAAAAAGCGGAGCGTCCGGGTTGACTGGCTAAAGAGGTAAAATTGGAACAGTAGATTTGCTCAACTTATTATATTGAGCACTTTATTTAGTTACTTTTGATTTACTCGTTTTAGTGTTTTTTCTTTGAGCTTGGATTCTGGACGATTGTTTTCGTCTGAATTACATGTTCTTAGTTCTTTCTTTTTTATTCCTTATTTTTCCTTGTGTATTGGTTTGTTCATTTACAAACCAAAACACCTAAGGTTTTTCCAGACGAGTATAACTATATATATTATATACACACATGTATGTAGGAGTACAAGTGTGTGTATATATCTGTGTACGTGTGTATTGTGCAAAGCTTCACTGATTATTCCTTCAAAATTTGAAAATAACGATATTTATTCTGACTGGAGAGACGGAGGTAAATTATATATATATATATATATATATATATATAAACACGCATCAATATAAATCCGGGAACTTCCATTGATCTGATGGGTTTCAGATTTTACTGAACAATTTTTTCCGTGCCAAATTCTCAAGAGTTAAGTATCCGTGAACGAAGATGGCGAATGAAGTTTCGTAGAAAATAGAAATTACGAGAGAAAATATTTTCTCGTATTAAGTAAATGAGAAGATATAGTTAAAAATAAATTCTCCTATCCGATCATAGGTATGTACACATATGCGAATTTCCATCGACCGGAGAAAGATAAATTTGTGTGTTTCTAGAGCAGAGTTTCTCAACTGATGCGTCCAGGTGAAATAATACGCAGTGAATGGCAGCTAGCTGCGTAAACTGAAGAGTAATTTAGGAATTATTTTTATATTTAAAAACATCTTTATTATTAAAAAGCAATGAACACCAAGTAAATGGCTTCGATGTCTAATACAAGTCTTCGTCATTTGATATTTTAAACGGGATGCTACATTTCTTAATCTAAATAAGAGTGGATAATCTTCTCTATTCTTCAAGGAATTTAAACAAGTCATTATCGGGCTGTATAAACAATATTTATAAATCCCTTTAAATAAAAACTGTGCCGCTAATTTTCTTTGAGTATGCTAGACTAAAATTTCATGTTTTTAAATTTCATGACTAAGTTTTCTTCATTAAATTTAAAGCGTGCCTCAAAGTTTTACTTTTTCTACAAGAGCGCTCTGAATTAAAAAAAAATGGTTGAGAAACGATGGTCTAGAGACATGCATATATATATATATATATATATATATATACACACATGTATATATATGTGTATTGTTATCTACAAACATTTTTAACATTTTGCGCATATGGAAAGAGGTAAAGTGATAGAAAAAGGTATCCCAAATGCAGAACAAAAGCTTCAGTATCGAATACTGAAATGGGCCCTTTGGAAATACAATGTAATAACATCCAAGATCGATGAAAATCCAAATCGATCACATAAATCTATTCGAATTTTGAAATCGGGAAATAAAAACATAAAAAGGTATGAAGAAAGTAAAAAAGTGACTAAAAATAACCAAAGAAATAAATAAGACAAAAGAAAAAAAAAAGCAAGAGTTTTAGTAGAAAATGAACAAAAAAGACGCTTTCTTTTGTTTCACTGCTTCATGTAATCATGCAGTGATATCAATTTATTATTCGTTAAGCTTATAGGAGTTACCTTCCTTTGGTTTTATGGATTCCTGAAGGAAGCTTCAAATGAAACAAAACAAAATCAGGAAAAAATAAGAAAAAAGTCAAAAATAGAAAAAAGAAAAAAAAAAAGAAATCAAGTCCCTTGCTTCAATATTTACGATCTAATTTTTTTTCAAGTTTTGTTGTTTTTTTTTTTCCCCTCAACATTAGAATCTAAACAGTAAATAGGAATATTAAAACTTATACAAACAGGTGGATTAACACTGGATTGAAAAAAAAAATTACATCTCAATTAAAAGGTTTTTTAGAATTCGGATAAAACAACGTTTTCTTATAAGTTAAAACAAACTTTTTGAATTTTTCAATAATTATCTAAACATCAAAACATTGGCAATTTATTCGTTTACAAGAAAGTTCGTTCCTTAAAATAACAATTTCTTCTTCGGATTTAAAACGGTGACATTTTTATGTCTAATTCTACTCTTGTCACGCAGTAAATATCTCAGTAAAAAAAAAAAATAACCTAAAAACAACCTAAACTCCAAGAAGCGAATAACGTCATCGTTATTATATTTATTTGTTTATTCAATTTAAAGTCTAAATAACACGAAATCTTTTGAAGCTCCTGATCAACAGTCGTACTTTTTTTGTAAAACAATTATTGTTTAGTTATCTTTTTTCAAATTTCATCAGTCAAAAAAGTTGTCTCTCTCAAAGACCTTAAAATTATGAGTCGACTTTTTTCATATATTTTTAATAAGTTTATCTATTATTTTATATTAAAGATCTTTGAACCTTAAATTAAATCTATATCTTTTGGGATATAATTTATTGTTACGATGCTCGTCTGTTTTCTTCCAAATGATATTAGAATAATTCTATTTTTCTATTATTCTTAGCATTGCCAAAATTAAATTTTGAAAATTTTGAAAACACTTCGCCAAAATGAGGAAGAAATTGCTGTAAAAAATGAGACGAAGAAGGCATTTTTTTCTTTGCTTCCATTAGTATCCTGACTTTGTTCGTTATAACAACAAAAACGAAAAGAAGAAGCACAGAATGAATGGAAACAATTTCCCGCCTATCTACGCCATTTTATTCCATCAGCAGAAATTAATCCGTTATATCGAAGGAGTTAAAAAGAACTGTAAACATTTGTTCGTTTTCACTCAAACGGAAGAACTTTTGTACTTCGATCAGAGCATATAATAATAATAATATTGATGATGATTTTTCTTTTCCAGTTATTTCTTATACGTTATTCATAAAACCAGTTTTTTTTGCTGTAAGCTGATAATAGAAATAAAAAAAAAGGTAAGAGAAAAAAACATTGAATAGAGACAAATTTTAGAAAGAAAAAAAAAAGAGAAAGAAGCTAGTAAGAAAATAATAAGTGCGAAGGAGGTTTTTTTTTTTTCTTTAGAACAGTTTGTAATTTTTGTATTTTTAAGACATGAGTTTTTGTTAGCCTCTATTCCGTCATGGGGCACAGATGGCGTCTACTGTCAACATTTGGCGCAGGTCATCGTCGTCAAGACAACCACTAATGAATTCTTCCCTGGACAACACACCATCATTGTTAACGTCCATTTTTTTAAAGATCTTTTCTGTGCGCTCTTCGGGGGGTTCCTGCGAATCCGAACACCCCAGCATCTCATAAATTGCCTGTAACAAGAAAGAGAGAGAGAAAAAAAAAAATGAATAATAATAATTATAATGTAAAGCATTTTGATAATAACATAACAGTAATGAGTAGATACATATTACGTTTACGGACCAATCATGTTTTGAATATAAAAAAAGTATGATTAAATAGAAAACGAATTGGGAACCGTCTCTAAATTTAAACATGTTTCGCTGACTTTATTACAGCTTCATCAGAATTTTACTTGTGGAGAATGAGGGGACATATGGAGAAGATTTCGATATTTTGAGTTCTGTGCTGTTTGTTTTCATGTGGTAGTGTTGATAATAGGTGTTTGTTTTGAACACGTTGAAATAGGGGTGCCACACAGAAAGTGTGTTCTACTGAAGGCCTGTTCGCCAGAAGGCTGATGAAGCATTTTTAGTCTTGGTATAAGAGTCACTGAGTTTCACGCAGAAATTGAGACAAACATATTGCTTGAATATCTGTCTATATTTCTGAGATGAGGTATTATGTACATTATTTACATTATTCGGTCTATTGTCCTCATCTTTGTCGCCATAATTATTACAACGTTTCGGCCGTTGTACGCTCCGACCTTCTTCAGGTGGTTGAAATGTCGAACTGAACCCTTTATTCCGTTCACTGGGATAGACTGTTCGAGTTCCAAGTGCCATGTTTAATGGATATCAGTTATCCCTTATCTCCTGATCTCTGGTAAAAAAAAACAAACAAACTATGCAATGATAACAGCAAAAATTGCAATATGAACACTGGTAAAAATGGTTGCTGAAGACATTAGGTTTATATTACCTAGAAATTCATACACAGATGTCTTCAAGGACACATGGCACAATGAATAAAGGCGTTAGTGACAGGGCCCAAAGAGTGTGAGTTCAATATCCGGCTATGGCAGTGGAGAACTTTCAGAGGGAAATTAACAGGAGACATCCATTAAACATAGAAAATATGCGTCCTCTGACAGGAATCGAACCTGTATCCTATACGGAACCGTCATGTACCCTGATATATATATATATATATAGTGTAACCCGGATATAAGAGATTTTCTCAGGTCCCAAATTAGAGCCTGTGTCAATCTATATAAAATAGACCAAACCCGGATATAAGAGACTTTGTCTCCGGTCCCGACAACTCTCTTATATCCGGGTTACACTATATATATATACATATATATATATATATATATATATATATATATATATAAAGTGCGCAGGTATTCAGAAAATAGAAAAGAATACGTTGGGTGCATAATCCGGAGTTCCTTAGTATTTTTGTTTTTATTTTTAAGAAGACAGTGCCCCATACAGAAGTAGAGCTTTATTATAATAATATTTTTTTTGGTTAAAAGTATGAATCATATTTTTAAACCAAAAAATATTATTTAATATATATATATATATATATATATATATATATATAAAATCTCACACACCAGATGTGCGTTTCCAGAGTAGCCAATAATTCGATAATTACTAACATTATCTTGTTTGGCATTTCCTACTTTTAGTTTAGAGAGTTAATTTTTAAAAGTATTTCTTATGTAAGTGAATTATTGAAGAGAGCGTAAGAATGAATATCAAAGTCTCACCGTAATGATGTCCACCATTTCACTCTTCTCAATCGTTCCATCTTTATTCTTATCGTACATCGTGAAGGCCCAGGTTAGCTTTTCCTTTGGGTCTTTCGCCGAAGTCACACTAATGGCCAACATAAATTCTTTGAAATCGATATGGCCACTGTTGTCGTGATCAAATGTTCGAAACACATGATCACAAAACGCCTCGGGGTTCCCTTGTCGGAAGAGGTCCGAATAGACTTCCATCAGTTTTGATTTAGTTAGAAGACCTTTCGGACAGTCTTTCTGCAAATAGAAAAAGAATTAACAATTCAAGATTAAAAAAGAAAGTTAAATCATGGATATTATTGATCAAGGGTTCTTTCCCTTACCGCAAATCATCTTGAAGTGACACAATCCGCCTAATCTCATACAGTCTAATTTGGATTCTCGGTAGAGGAGTCCAAAGTGCGAATTGCAAATCGGAGGCATCAAAATCAAGCAGCTTCGGAAATTTAAATATCTGGAAAGTGTTTTAACAGAGGACGGAAAGTGCGACACTGAAATCTGAAGGCGTATTGGGATAGCGAAAGATGCCTTCCAAAAACTAAGCAGAGTAACAAGAAATAGTAAAATTTCGCTAGAAACAAGGAAAAGAGTACGAAATTGCGACATGATATTGGTCCTACCGTATGCTTAGGAGTGTTGGACGATCTCAAGTATGAAGAGGAAATTTGAAGTAACAAATGTGGTTCTACAGAGGGATGCTGAGGATACCGTGGACCGAACATGTGATCAACGACGATTTTTTGGAGAGAATTGAAGCAAAAAGGAAACTAATACTTAACACCAGGAAGAGACAGTTGAAGTTTCTGGGGAATATAATGAGAAAGGAAGGCTTGGAAAACCTGATACACACGGGACAGAGAGAGGGCAAGAGGGAGAGTTGAAAACAATACATAACCTACTTTAATGAGCTTGAGTAAATGGATGGTGGAACAGGGCTTTGGATGAATAACAGGAAGTTAATTAAGAGATACAAGGGACAGGAAGTTGTGGAGATGCATGATCGCCTACGCCCCTGGGGGCACGTCACATAAAAAAGAATGTGTATTAATACAGCCAGCACTACTTAAACTAACAGGTCCGATAGTAAAAAAAGGGAAAGATTTTGGTAAATTAGCATTCATTAGACCACCATGATAGGCTTACGACCATAACACGTTAAACGTTAAGCCACGTCGAGCCTGGTCAGGACCTAGATGGGTAACCGCTTGGGAGTACCAGATGCTGTAAGCTTGGAAGTGCGAGTGGTGTAATGAATAACAACTCGGAATTGTTAATCAGAGTGCCGAGTTCTAATTCCAGTCAGATTCTTTATATTCGCTTACACGTAAATGTCCTTGGGAAAGGTAGGAATTCATCTCTTCTGATCTCAACTATGCGGTAATTAGTAAGACTTGTATCATTAAAATTATTCTTATCTCACACCAAAATTCTTACAATCCAAATTATATATATATATATATATATATATATATATATATATTTGCTGGCTTTAAATAACTTGCAAAACGTTGATAAGCCGTAGAAAACAAATCAATCAATCTATCCACAGTATTTGTCAGCATCGAAAAAAGTATTGACGTTTTATCATTTTGGAAGGCGGAAGTTATACAATCGTTAATTTTGAAATTCTGCTTACGTCATTGATAACTGCGTACTACTGATGTCTATTTCTCTCAGTTCCTAGTAGTGAGCTGTTATCGATGACGTAAAGCACAGTTTCAAACTTGTTTATAAAAAAAAAAGACATAATTCTTTATGAAGTCAGGGATCGATTTGAGATTTTATTTATATTATAAAGAAAACCCCATCGAAAATGACTATAAAAATCAATGTTTCAATTCTGAACATGTCCTGGGTAGAGAACGCTTTAATGAATTCTGATCTACAAAAAATGTCAAAAAAAAAAAAAAAAAAAAAAATCTGCGTTATTTAAAAAAATGAATTAGTGCCAGACAATCTTAGCAAATATCCGACCTATTTAGTGGGTGAGATGTTGACTGTTGAAAAGCTCTCGGCCATGTAAAGGATTAGAAAATTCTCGTGTTTGTCATTTGTTCAGGTTTTTGAAAGTGGGTCAGGTCGAGAAATTTTCAGCACGCTCATTCTTTCCAACGGCATCAGTCATAGAGCCCGGATAATTTTCAGGATTTTGAATTTCAACACAAATTTGTCTTACTTAAAAGATTGGCAGAATATATTCTTACTATATTTCATTCATACCCGCTAAGCCAAAGTAAACTAAGCTTAAGCTGAATAATAAAAAACGGCTGAGAACGAATTCTTTGAATCTTAAACACCCGTTACAGACTGGCGTTACAAAATTCCAAAGGCCTTTACCAAATAATGAAAATCACAACAGTAGCAGTAACGACAACAAAAAGGGTGGCACATGTCACTAGAAGTGAAAATGAACTTATAATCAGGACGTTAACTTTCCACACTACCAAAGACAAAAGGTGTAAACGGAAACTCCAATTAACACGAGAAAGAACGATGGCAATAAACTGGAGAGTTCTAATTTTCTGAAAAATTGTTTTATAAAAAGATTTGATGTATTTCAGCTTAAAATACCATTATAATTGGCCGGTGAATGAATGCCCAAAGTTTTCTTTATGGAAACGGATAATTTTAAAATTGTCATTCGTATATTTTTTGGCAATATGAAACTAAATAACAAAATCGACAATATTTCCAGCAGCAACAACATAAATAGGCAGAAAATGTAACTAAACATTTTTAGCCGTTAATTAAGGAGCTAAAAAACAACAACAAAAACTACACGTTTTAATTAAAAAGCAACAACAAATTACTCGCTTTACCGTTTAATTAAAAGCAACAACAAATTACTCGCTTTTACCGTTTAATTAAAAAGCAACAACAAATTACTCGCTTTTACCGTTTAATTAAAAAGCAACAACAAATTACTCGCTTTTACCGTTTAATTAAAAAGCAACAACAAATTACTCGCTTTTAGCCTCTAATTAAAAAGCAACAACAAATTACTCGCTTTTCGCCTCTAATTAAAAAGCTCAACTTCAAATTAAAAGTGTTATTAGTGCGAGACGATAAAGTAGTTTTTAAATTAGAAATTAACAAGTTCTCACAGTGAACATCAGCTGCCTACTGAACCACAGTAGCTATGGATATAAGTCACAGAATGGCAAACTGAATCACCTATTCTATATTGATGATCTTAAAACATTTGCCAAGGATGATAACCAGCAGAGAAATCTACTCACTATTATCATACACTTCAGTGAAGACATTAGGATGGAGTTCGGAATTGACAAATGTGCCAAAGCCACCTTCAAATGCCGTAAACTAACGAAAAATTCGAAGTTAGATCTTGATATCAACAAGGAATTGTACCAAGATGGTACATACAAATACTTAAGAATTAATGAAGGAGAATACAACATTCAATTATGAAAAAAAAAACGATCCGAAAATAGTGTTATAGGAGAGTGTAAAATGAAGGTTATCAACATCTTAGCTCACACCACATTTCTCAGTATTTGAGGATATTGTTGCACGAAGATTGGAACTGAATGTTTCTTTACATGACTGTAGGTTTTCATGCACACTTGTGGGTTAATTGCAGACATTAATTCTTCAAGATGACGTAATCTGTACACTGTTAGAGTAACTAAAATTGAAGTTGAGCTGATTTTTAATTTGAGAGTAAAGAGGTGAATTAGAGAAAATATTGTGTTCAAACAGTCGCTAATCTTTCTACTACCAAAAAGGAAGGAAACTTTTCATCGGTATTTGAAAGAGCTATAACATTTAGTGAATTTGAGATGTCTAATTTACTGAAAAACCATTTTAATAAACATTTATAAATTTCAATCAACAGTAACATTAACTCAATGAATGTCAAAAGTTTCCTGTAAGGAAATTGTTAATTTTAGCATTACGAATAAATATCCAACCAAAACATTAAAAATATCAGCTCATGAAGGGACTTTAAATAAGTTTTATGTATCGGAGTGATAAGAGATGGACAACCATTTTGATATGGAAGAAGCAGCCGATAAAATTGAGCTGTGTGATAAGTTTGACCAACCGAATAAAAAAAATCGAAAATTATTGTTAAATGCTGCGATAAAATGCGGGCGGCGTAATTTATTTCGTTTTACGTTGGATGGATTTGCGTAGAGTGTGAACGACAGCTTGATGCGAGTCATTAATGTTGGGCGTTCGGGTGTGGCGCTTGATTGTGATTGGTTGGAGTCGGCGGGGGGGGGCTTACAGGGAAGAGAATTTGTAGGTTATCACTTGTTTTTCAAAGATCACTGCTTTCAATCAGATTTACACTAATAATTGTAAGCTTCAGCAACAGAAAAAATGAATAGTGTTCCCTTGTATATTTTTATGAAAGGAAGTTATATATATATATAAGAGCTTTCCCTTTTAATTGACTATAACCATCGCACGAAAGTAATTACTTGTTTTTAAATAGTGTTGTGATCGAATATGGCTTTTTTGTTTAGCCAATGAATCATCTTTTGCCAAACTTCCGCATTGGCATCAGCATCCAGCAGTTGATCTGAAACAGTTCCAGAGCATTTTTATTTGTATCCATAACATTATTAGTCATCATTGAATTGGTTGCCCACTTTAGGCTACGATCAACCTTCGCATTACCAAGTAAGTGGTAAAAGACAGTGCACTGGGTAAGATCAACTCTCATCAAAAGTAATAATCTTATTAAAGAAGTGTAATTCTTCTTCATCGGTCATTGTTAATCCGACCTTTAATCTTGATTATAGTCTAACTACCCTTCTTACTAGAAAAGTCTGGTATGGGAATCGGTTTAATCTCCATGCTGTACCAGTAGCACTCACAGATTGATCTTACACACACGCACTCACTCACACAATGTATATGGCTAGCTACTATTTTTTCGAGTACATTCATCTGCTATGGTGCCAAGCCAATCCCAACTGTATTTTTTCTTCAACACCGACAAAACCAACTAGCTGTTTATACTACAGCTATGCCGAGTGAACCTTAATTACTGTTTCTGGGAGATAGCGCATCCTCTGGCGTCATCAACAATTTAAACAAAGTGAGCGCTCTCGAATCCTTGGCCACAATGACTTGTGACTTTATGCTAGAATGACCATTGATGGTATTTGAATAGTTCTCTTCTTCCAATTTCACTTTTAAGGTTTTGGTTAACCTGTGGTATGATTTTCAGGCACTTTCCTTTCAAGAAGATTGTGAGATTCGAA